CCCGGCCCAGCCCAGCCCGGCCCAGCCCAGCCTGTCCTGTCCTCAGCGACTCCTCAGCTTCGGGGCTGTTCTATGGGAGGAGTGGTGTTTATCCCCCCTCAGAAATCCCTACCACTTAGATTCCACCTCCAGCTGCGATGGAAGTGATTATTGAAAGTTTGTTTCGTTTTGTTTTGTTTTACCCCATTCTCTCTAATGTGTGTAGTTCTGCCCCCCCCCTTTTTACTAGTCTTTGATCCACATTGATATCTATGGTACTAGTTATTCCTCACTTGTTGCTTCAAGTTCCCTTGACAAATCTTGTCTCTACCGTCTAATAGCTAGTCTCTTTATATTTTTATCCAATGTTATTTCCGTGGATGCTTGTTCCCAAGTTGCCCCTTTTTTCTGTTTTTTTTTTTTTTTTTTTTTCCTTTCCTTGGAATGGTCGGTCCTGGGCTCTCTTCTTCAAATCTCTGCCCACATATCCACCCAGTCCTGTTTTATCCGAGGCATTTTGGTGTTTCACAGAATCACAGAATAGTTAAGATTGGAAGGGACCTCTAGAGATCGTCTAGTCCAACCCATCAAAATACATGTTTCCTTTCTGCTGCTTCTTGCAGATGAACTAAAATTCACACACAGCTGAACGGAGCAGTAGGGTTATGTCTGCGCTTTTTTCCATTTTTAGCTGAAATAACATTGACATTGCTTCGTGTTGTTGTGTGGCACTTTTCGTCTATTCTTCCTGAAATTAATGGTGAAATATAAATAAAACAGTCTTTGCTGACATTTACATGTAATGTTAATTTTCTATTTTTGCCTTGAAAGAAAATTACTTTTTTTAGTTGAAAGTTTCTATTTGGCTTGTAGCTAGCGTTGGCTTTAGGGCACATGTGTTCATTGGGGAGTATTAGTGTAAAGAGAGGCTTCAAATGTGGTGCTGGGACATTAAACTCTCTATTTTCTGTCCTCCCTGGACGAGCAGTGCACAACAACCATCCTTTCCAGCGAACTGGAATACCCTTTCTTCTTATTATTACTTTTTCCCTCACAGGAAGACTCCTTCAAGCTGTCGTTTTGTTTGTTTGTTTCTGTTTTTTTTTATGATTTGTGATGGGCTTCTGGATCCTTCAGTGTGCAAGTCACTGTGCATGTTATTACTGTCAGGTTAAAGGGAAGGACTTCCAAACAAAGATAAAACTTAATCCAAAGCAGGCAGATTTTCATATTAAATATGGATATTACTTTTAAATAGTTCTGCAAACTCTTTTGCAAGTCCCTTATTTTTGTCCCGTGTCTTGTACCTGACACTTTTTTTTTTCCATTTTATAGTACAATCTTTACTCTGTTGAATGGTATAGGGAAACATGATGCTTACAAAATATTAAATTATATTTCATTTAAGGATAGTATTCTTACACATACGTGGATTATTAGTTATTTTGGCTTATTCCAGTTAAAACTGTCATGAATTACTATTCTGACATGATATGTGTATAAATGAGATTCTAGATTAAATTTCCCAGTCTATTTGTTCCAGAACACTTAGCATATGTAGAATAACCACAACTTTTCTCCAGCAATATTTAGATGTTTTTAGTATATGTTGTAAAATAGAAAATATCCAAGGATATTCATGAACATAGTTGCAATGTCAAAATCCTTATAATTGTTTAATACATTCTGTGTATTGAACATACGAAGTGTAACAGGTTGATTGCCTTTTGTGCTATGCATATTTAAGTTGCTGCTTTGTTAATGTACTGTTGTCTTTTTTGTAGGTGTAAGATTGTTTTTTTCAGATTTTACATTATTACTATTTTTAGCTGCTGCTTATTTTAGAAGTCAAAGGCAATAATTACTCATAAGAGCTTTGCTCTCTAGTTCATAAAGCTCCTTCTCAGAGGACAATGTTATTATTGATGTTCTACTTCAGTTTCCACATTTGTGGAAACTGAAGTAGAGAAAGAACTTGTCCGAAGTTGCTCAATAGACAGTCCGAAGAACTTGTCCGTGACTTGTCCGAAGTTGCTCAATAGACAGTGATCAAAACTGAACATGTCTCTGCGTTTAATTTCCACTAGATCTTTCTCAAAATAGCAGTTGAGCTGCTTTGGCCAAGTTTAATAATTTTTGCTTATATAAGCATCTCTGTCGGGAAATGCAGGATTGAATCAATCTGTTTATGCATGTTGGGCATTTGTGGTTTTCTTCCCCTTTTGCACTGAACCTCTCACAGTGACAGCTGAGGGAAAGCAAGTAATATTGGATCTACAGGAAATTACGACTCTTCAAAATGATGAGTTTTGTTGGAGAAGGGAGACTTTTCAAAATTTCTAGAGGAAAGTGGAAAAATATCTTTGGAATTCAAAGCCGAATAGTTGTTTGACTTCTTTTTTCCTGCCGAAGTTGAGACCTAAATAGGCGATGGCTTCTGTTTGTAAGGCTGCCTGGGAGCAGAGTTGTCTTTTACCTGAAGACTTTTCCAAACTCTTTGTCATCATTCTTCTAACCATATTTGCTTCTTCAAAAACCTGCTTTGTTTCGGATGCACATGTTGCCCTGGGTAGTAGGGTGTTGTTCTTTACTTTTATAAGTCACTTAATATTAATTGTATTATTCTAGATCTTCTCTATGCATCCCAGCCTCTTAACTGTTTTCCCCCCTTGTTTGTTTGTTTGTTTTAAAAACTGATACTCTACTGAGAGCTTTATTGAGATGTCTTGAGGTGACCCTTGTCCTGTAAATTTCAAACCTTTTGAAGGTGTATGAGAAGATGAGATGAAGGGCGTGAGCTGGTAGGTTACATTGAAAGATGTAATGGAATGGTGGAAAAGCCCCTCTCAAGTACAGGTAACATGACTTCTACTAGTTTCACAGCCTGAAGTAGGAAAGTAAAGGGACAGTATGGAAAGTTAGTACATGAGGAACTCCATCAAGAAGACATTGGGAAATTGGTTTCATTTGCTGGTTTAATGGAACACTGAGGTTAAAGGAAAATAAAGTTACTGCTCTGGTCTCAGGAGCCCTGGTCAGATTGATGTTCATCTTCAAGTTTGTATTTTTCTTCTCTAGGGCTGCTTTGTGTTTAAACCAAGTCCAAAGAAGAGAAGGGTATCTCCAGAAACAGGTTAGTGCATTTTGCTGTAAGTTGCTATGCTTTAGAAGGTCTCATCCTGCAAACTTCCATTGGGATTGAATTCTGTGATAATAGTGTTGAGAGTTTCTGTTACTCCTTGATGTCAGTACAACACTGCAAGGTGTTGTTTATTTAGGGAAACCTCAGCAAGCTGTTGGATAGTGTGCGTGGTTCTTTTAACCTCAGCAATTGACAGCATTGCTCTCATAACTTAGTTTTTTTTTTCTTTTTCAAAAAAAAAGAAAACTCTTTTCCATGCTACGATAAATACTTAGTATATTCTCCGAAGAGGCTGATTAAGCCCCTTACAAGTTTTCAGAAATGATAACCCATTCGGAAAACTGTTTATATTTTGAGTAGCTTACCCAAGTTTCTTCAGGAAAAGAATAAACTGTTTGTGAAGATGCCATGACTTCTATCTACTACTCCTTGTTATATGTATTGGAGGAAAAAAAGTATATATACTGTGTTGATGAGTCTTTTGCTATTTTAGAAAGTCTGCACAGGACTGAACCTTGCTGGAGCTACAATTAATGTTGCTTAAATAGTTGTGCTTGAGAATTGCTCAGGAGACTTACTGTTTTTATTCCCAGATTAAACTTTTTTTTTTTTTTTTGGCAGCATCAGAGCCATCAAAAGTTGCATCCACTTGTTTAAAAAGGAGGAAGGGGAAGTAATTAAGCCATTTTTTTTGAAATCACCACAGGCTCATTCATTACCAGAGGGACTTACTACAACACCTACCTTAAAATTAATCCATGTTTGTTTTTCTGTAAGAGTTAGTACATCTGTAGCTCAAGAAAAGAGAAGGGGGGAAATATAACCCAACTTGTCACCACAAATCGTCGAAAGATAAATAAAGCAACAAGCAAGACCTGTGCACCTAAACGTGTTGGAATCTTACCATTTACTGAGAAATAGGTTTTTCTAAGAAAACCTAAGAAATAGGTTTTTCTAAGATTAATAATGCTTGGATAAATCCCATTAAATGTATTTTTCCAATAAGCAAACACTTTGTGATAGAAAAGAGAATTTGACTACGCTACTCCTAAAAGCCAGGCAGAGGGGAGCTAATTTGAGGACTACTAACAAGTAGCTGTTTGGAATGATACTCTAAATAAGCGCATCTGTGATGTGCCTATGTCCAGTTTGGAAGCCCAGACCTCGCAAGTGTGAAGCTTTATTTGTATTTGATAATACTTTTGCACTCCACACAGGCCTTTTGTACCTTTTATGCCTGTTGTCTGAATTTTGATAGCATGAAAAATACTATTCTTTGGTGTAATACCTGAATGATATTGTATGCTTTTGTTTGTTTTTGTTTTGCTTCATTGAAAGCCTAAGGGCTGTGTATTGAAAGCACTATCTATTTAGGTAATCTACAGTTTTAGGTGATTTACAGATAAAACCAACATCTCTGTGTTGAGGGGTGGCAAAGGAAATGGGGAAAGGAGGGCTCTTGTTCATCCTTTACAGATTTCTTTTTTTAATGTTATGTGCCTATCAGCTGCTTCTTTCATAGAGATGAGACTGCAGTTGGTACTCCACTGCATAGCTAGTAAATTAACCTTCTTATGATTGTTTGTTTGCCCATCTTTATAAGTAGGAAAAACACTGACTAAGTTTATTACTACCTTTAGCAACATTTGGCAGGTTGCTTGCTTTACCTGGAAGGACAGAAAGCCTGAAGCTTGTGTTAGCCAAACTTTGAAAGCTAGGCAGGACCCTCTAACTGTGTGCTGCGGGTGTAGAAAGGTGGTTCCAAGCCTTATGCGTTTTTCTTTTTCCCAGAGAGGAAATGTAGACTGCTGGAATGTGCCAGGGGCAAAAAGCAAAATTAATAAAATCTCAGTATTTTTTACTTTTGATTCAGTCTACCATTTCCTTTCCAGCCTAGTCTTTGCTTCTTAGTTGGAAACAGGTGGAGGGGTTCTGTGCTCTGTACTCCTGTCTCTTGAGACAGAGCAGCACTTGGGAGGCTGGATACATTCAGGGGATGTGTATAGACAGTTGCCAAAACTGATCTGATCTTGAAGGCTTGATGGCTTTTTAGGTGAAGCTCAGACATTTGGCACCTTTGTTTAGTTTTCATAAGGAGCCTTCACAGAAGTGAGATGAACCAAAAATGTAGACCTAGTTTGTGCTTAACAGCTCTGCTGGCATAGTTGTGTTGGTTAAGATAAGTGTACCTTACTGTTTTCAGGAAATTGATATTAGCTGCATCTTTATTGGGAAAGATTTATATAAATATATATATATATATATATATAAAAGTATATATATATCCTACCAAGCCCTTTCTGCTTCATGTTTGACTAATGTGATGGAGAGGCAGACTCATAAAGTTTTCAAAAGGGAAAGATTTTTTTTTATTTGTTTTTATAATAACTCTTTGCCTTGATTGAACCTCTAGCTTATCTGAAACTTGAGGTGAAGCCAGCTCTAGCCTTGTATCTGCACACTTGGGTTAACAGATTCTGCATATTTATTAGCTTGTGCTACTAGTTACCTGCAGTTAACTGGTTAAGAGTTGTGATCCTGGAAATGTTTAAAGATAATATTTCTTTTTCAGTTGGATGCTTCAATTTATCCTCCAAAAAAAAAAAAAAAGGCTTTGTTTTCATAATCTTATTTGTGCTTCTCATTGCTTTTTGTCTCTCCAGCTGACTATTTCAGAGAAGGAGACAATGATTCTGAGGACAGTGGGTTGCGATTTGCTACTTGTCAGTCGTTATGGAAACAGATCAAATCCCAAACAGAGGTGAGTCTTGCTGCTAATACTAAAACAGCAGTTTGAATTTGTAACACTGGTGCTTGTTTGTTTCTGGAGACGTTTCACATGCTTAGAACGCAATTCATTAAAGCACTAAGAGGGTCAGAAATATTAACTAAGACTGAAGTTGCTGTTCAGGATATATATTTTTTATACATTGCTGTTAATTACAGAGGTACATGCTTTCGATGCTTCAAGCAGCTTCTTTCAAGCTTCTGTTTTTACTCACTGTCATTTTTACTAACTCCTGGCAGATTGTTGGTTTCTGCCTGTAATTCATTTGTGTGCTTGCCAGCCCTGCAAGGATTTTAGACTGCTCTTGACCTCAGAGTTTATAGCAGCCCAAGATTCACAACGGTTTTATGTGACTCCAACTGCACAGACTGCAAATCCTGATTGGCAGAGCTACGAGCTTAGTTTATTGACTTGATATGGACTGTATCAGTGGGCTTGTCTGGTGGGAACAGGTGTTTATCTCATCCCGAACCGTGGCCACTGTAGTGCATTAAGTGGCTTGCTGTTGTTTTGGCCATATAGCCAGCTGGCTTGTGTTACAGTATGAGTAATTGCTTCTGTACAGCAAGGATTTCCTCCTCTATTCAAAGTCAAGGATTCTGGGCATGTATTCTGTATTCCTCTGCCTGCCCTTGGGCACCAGTCATTATGAGTTTGGGGTTTTTTTTTTTTCTGAAGTTTGCTTTGGGATATACAGTGAAAGCCAGCTGGATGCAGCTTAAAATCTGGACCTTTGGGCTAAGCTCAAATGCCTTTAATTCTGTTCCTGTTATTTCACAACCCAACTCACTTCTAACTAATCAGCGCCCTTTCAAACCCCTTCTAGCCAAACTGTGCAGAATGGTGCACTACATCATAGTGGTAATCATGAAGAATACACAGAAGTTTGGAGTTTTTTGTTATGCTTCAGCCAACTGCTTCAGCTTGCTAGGTTAGCCACCAGTTTTAGCAATAATGTTGGCAGATGCTCCTGGTACTGCTTTGGCAGCTACACAGTGGGATGATGAGGAAGCGGATGTAGCAAAGCAACTTCTGGAACATCTTTCTGGGGTACAGTGTTGTATGAAGGACTTTGAAAGAGTCCTTCTAGACAGCCAACAGTGGGTTCAGGACCTTTTATTGTTTACTGTCATTTCAGCTGCAGCCTTGTAAATGTTCTTATCATGCATCTTCTTGAGGGCATTCAGAAGGAGAGGAATTCAAGAAGCACTACAAGGATCCTGGACAAAGCCAAAGGCAGGGCTGTGGTCTGGTTATTTTAGCTCTAATATGCAGCTGCTGATTTTCAGACCATGCAACAGATAACTATGACAAAAACTAGAGAGATGTCAGTATCTTAGCAGGGGTTGAACTACCAGTTGTTAAAACTTTTCCAGAGTAAGGCCGATCATGAAAGTAGATCAGATGACCATTTTGAGATGCAGAACAGTTTAGTGATTCTGGCAGACTGTCAAAGAAGTGTGAACTAAGGCTGCGAGAAGTATGCCCTGAGTGCATTCACTCAAATGGCCAATTCATCCTTTATGTAGTCTTTATGTTAAAAAAAGGTTAATGTAAACACGGGGGTTGTGCTACTGGGTAGAAGATGGGGTTACTTCTCCTCTCTGACTGGTCTGGCTCTTTCAAATAGGCCACAACAGATAGCCTTTTAAAATGAGTGGCTGGTCTTTGTAGCAATTAAGGAGTTTTTCCTCAATTGAAAATATTTAAGATTAGAAATAGAAAGGATTTTTAATAACTCAATGTTGTCAAATTACGTAGATGCTTGGGTAGATAACTTTCCTATCTGATGGCTGTTTTTTTATTATTTTATATAAAGCTCTATGTGGAAGTCAGGACTCTGAACTTGACCCTGAAAACAGAAAGCAATTTATTTTTTCTTTTAAGCAAATCAGCATTGTTCATCATTGGGGTCATTACTATGGGTTTTTGTCACCAACTACTTACCAGAATGAGAGAGTAAATACTACTAGAAGGAATTTTTGGCTGTAATTTAAAAAGGTCAGGGCCAAGTACCTCATAGGGACCCATTGCTGAAGCAAAGTGGCCGTATTTCAAAAAAAAAAAAAAAAAAAAGGCACTTCTGTGGATTAGAAAGTAATGAGCTGGAGGGAATGGTCATCTCACAAAATAACCACCTACTCCACACTGTAAAAATCTTAAGACTACTTTAGTTGACATTATTGAATGACAGTTTAAGTCTATATTACTAAGACTAAATTTTGTGGGGGAAAAAAAAAAAGCTTTGACAAGAAAAGACTGAGTTCTTTATTCACAAATGCATGTTGGAAGAAATACAGTATAACTGTGCAAAAAAAAAAAGGAATCAGGGTCTTTTTAGATAGGCTTATTAAAAATTTCTTGTACAATAATGTTAAAAAAAAATCAAAGTAAAGATACCTAAGGATTCCTATGGGATGTATGATAATACAGAAGCCTTTAGGATAGTGCTGTAAAACTGGTAGGACAAACTCTTCTTTTTAAAATGTCATGTAAAATTATATTTATGACAGCTCAAGAAAAATATCAGTTTTGAATTCACAGATGGGCAATGAACATCAGAAAGAATATTTTGAATCAGTAGACGGTGAAAAGAGTGAGATTATTTTTGTATGCAGTTGTATCACTTATCGAGGAGAGCAGTCCTGGAGATGTGATCTTAACTCCTTTGATGGCTGCTTCATCCATACTGTTGGGGACAACCTTTGCAACCTCATTTAGAATCAGGTTCACAACTCTTGTGTATGTGCACTCTGGTTGCCAAAAAATCTTGGCTGATGATTTTATCACAGCAGAGGTTCCATGTTGTTTCTGACATCTAAGTTCTAGAGTTTAGATTGATATTCGGAACTTCTGAGGACAATTTCCTTGTCTATTATAATAGAAAGGATATTATGAGTTGGTGACAGACTTCAAATGCACAAATATAATAAAAGAAATAGAAAAAATCTGCTAGTGTATAACTACTGTAGGGTTAGAAAATCTTCCCCCTCTCAGCACCTTCTGTCCCCACTCCCACTGTATTCTGATATGTAGAATATAAGGGCAAAGGATAGTTGAGCAGCTGTGCAGTTCACTATTTTTTTTTTCTATATTGCATACCTTGTGCTTTCCATTATCATTATATTTGCTTGTTCGTTTGTTTTTCCCATTTTGAATTACAGGACTTGCCTGTTGCAGCCAAGAGCGAGTAAACAGAGTTTGCAAAAACACACTTCCAGAAAGTGTGCATTGTTTTCTTTGTGCTATGATGGCTTACAGATTGTCAATCTGTTTGGGGTTCTTTTTTTTTTCGTCCTTTAAGGCCTGTTGTGTGACCATGCAGCAGAGCAGAGATGCGCTTGCTCTCTGAGATACCATTGAAGTATTTGTCCAAAAGTTCCAAGGTAGCAGGAAATATTTCTGCTTGCCCTATATGAACAATTTATCATATTAATCATTTACAAATAACCAGTGTTATACAAAGTTTTACCTTCAGCTTTTAAAAATTGTCATGCAGGAAAGGGTGTAGAAAAAGGAAGATACTGTTGTGTTTCCCCATTTGTATAAATACAAACTCTCTGTTTACAGCAAGTACAAGAAGACATGAATAAGCAGTTTTTTGATAACCTAGTAAGTTTTCTGAGGCGATCTCATTGTGAGTTCCGAGAAAAGGCAACAGAATGGACTTGTCGGACAAAATCCAGAGAAATCCCTACTGCAGCTCTTCTTTTAGGTAATTTTTTAAAAGATATTTTGTGTTATGTCCATCAGTTCTCTTCGAGTTGCTTAAAGTTGAAACATCAGCTTCAGAAACATTGATATAAGAGATTGGTGGGCTCAGAATAGGAAGCAGGATTTGATCTGCTTCTGTTTTGTCTCTGTGCATAATGGTGCTATAAGGGAACACTTTCCCTAAAGGGCTGCCTTAGGCAACTGGTAGTGATATATATATTTCATTTAGTATTAATGCATATGTCTAAACTTGTGCTGTGTCTTTTATTTTTCCTCGTACATGATTTTTGACTCCTTACTTGAATGTTTCTGGTATCTTCTGTTTTGTCTGCTGTTCAATTTATCATTGAGTGACTGTGGTCACAATCCACAGGAAAAGCATATTTAGTTTCTTTGTCTTCTAGGTGTAAATGTTACAGATCATGACTTGACATTTAAAAGCCTCTCAGAAGTCATTCAGAATAACATTACTCCTTATGTAGCCTCACTGCAAGCCAAAGATTGCCCAGGTAAATGCTCCAATAGCTTTGCTTCTTCATCTGAATATGATGTCAAGTAACTAGAAGTTCTAGCTTTTGTCGCTAAATCTAAGAATTTGAAGATGGAGGGATCCTGAAAACCTTCTGAAGATGTGCTCAGTTCCATATTTATGTAATAGCTATACCTACTGTATTTTAAGAGATGTTAAGATGTAAGAGATGTTTAAGAGATGGTTCTGTTTTAAAATAATGAAGATTGAAATACTACTTCATTTTAGTATAAATGTCAAGATCATGCGGCGTAATGTTGGTGCTGCTGATCACCTTGCCTTTTGTTTGACCAGACAATATATGGATGTATTCCGCTTTTTAAATGCTAACAGTGACTTTGTTTCAGGGAAGAAATAGATAGAATAACAGCTCTCCCAGCTTTTCCCTCCCCAGTTGCTTTTTATTATTTCAATATGATGCAAATCAGTCATGGTGGCATTCCCAGACCTCTGGATAGACCTTTTCATTTTTTGGGCACCTCTAATAGCATGTGGCTGGAGTCTAGGAAAGGTGAATGACCCACATTTTCTCCTGAATTGGTGCTGTCTTGGCAAATTGATAGGATTTTTTTAATTGCCTTTACAGCATGCATACTGGGAATACTTTCAAGGTACCTGGAGCATATAAGTGTTTTTGGGAGAGAAAGAGAATAAAAGTGAAAAATAAGAAGTAATAACTTGGGGGATTCTACAGAATGGGTTTGGAGAAGATTAACAATTCTAGATAACTAAGCAAATGTCTCTTCACTGTGTGTCTGCAAATGTGTTGTGAAGCCATTAAAAATCTGATGCAGAAGTTGATGGGGCAGTTGATGAACTGCTGTGTAGATGTGGACTCATCGGATGAGGAGGACTGTGCTCAGGTTTCCCAGAACAGAATCCGTTGTTCGATTACTTCTCTTATCAGCTGGTATGAGAATATAACAAAGGTATGGGAGTTTTTTTTTTGTATTGTTACTTTACAAAAGTGACCTTTAGATTTTTCTATAAAAGAAATTGAATAACTCAAGTTTATATGCGCAAAGAAATGTCAAAAGTAGCTTTTAATTTAATACTAAGAAACAACCGAGGTGCTTTCAATATAAGAAAAAATCTGTAGCAGGCTGGAGTTAATGTCTGAGATATGCATGTCTACTGTTCTGTCAGAATTCTGAAAAAAAATGAACAAAAAGAAATAAATAGCATTTTATGGTATGTTTCCATTGGAACCAGCAGCCTAAATGCAGGGTCAACATCCTGCCAAGTGCCAAGATGTTGTGTTTGTAAACACAAAACTTTAAGAACAGCCATTCAGGGGAAAGGCTCCATATTGCTATTAATGTGCCATATGTCATCTACAGCATGTACAATGTTGACAGGGAGTGAGAATGATTTCTAAATGTTTTTAAATATATATTTTTATGCAATAAAGCTAATGAATGCTGTTTGAGTTTTTTTTTCAATATCAAATAAAGATAGAACTATTTTTATGACTTGATTGGAGTAGTGTGCTGAAGAAAATAATCAATGCTTACTCTATATGCTAAGTACCATCATAGCAAAAAATCAGTTGTGTCGCTTTGGAGCATTATAATATTAATGTGGTTCGATTTTTTTTTTTTTTTTTTTTGTCTTCTGTTTTGTGGTGTATAACCAATGGCCTTAAAGAAAACAGATTCTGAAACTCCAAGCAGAAAAAGAACATCTTCTAGACACTTGCAGTTTCCTCCAGTTGTGGTCATCTTCAAAGATATGGAAAGTTTCACCACAAAAGTACTTCAAGACTTCATAGTCATCAGCAGGTAATGTGACCTGAGGTTTTGTTCTTCTGATCTTTTGCTCATTTTTCTAATTGCAATTATTTTGAAGTATAGCAGTGAGAGGACTCTGTCATTGGAGAACTGGGATTAATTTTGTTGCTGCTAAAGCTAACTTGGGACTTTGAAGCAGAGTGCTTGAGGGCAGGGTTGATCGATCGAGTGGTTTATTTAACTGTTTAGGTAAGATAATTTATTGGTACTAGTTTTTACAAAATTTGTGATTGTGAGTCTTTTTTGGTAGATCTTTTGTCTGTTGACATAAAGATATAAAGAGATGGAGATATATAAATCTTTTTTTTTTCTAGATCTGGTTATATTTTTGTACAACTATTCATGTAATGCTGCAGAAAGGCCACTTGAGAAGTTGAATAGCTTACAAAGTATACAGAATTTCAGAAAAATCTCTGGGCGATGTTGGCCAGGACCCGTAATAAAGAGCTGACCATTTCAAGCGCTCCTGTGCTTCTGTCTTTCCTCAGTTGTGTCTTCCTTTATATTCTCTCCAACTTACTAGTCGGGAACCCTGCTGTTCTCCAAAAAGAAGCCTTATACTTGGGCACCAAGTTGGCACTGGGGGTGCAGCAGGATCCATGCTGCAGTCACAGAGTTAATTCTGCTATGTGCTCTGAAACAAGGCCAGGAATTTTCTCTTCTGTGCAACCCACAATAAAAATCTTTTCTACTTTAAATTTGGCAAATGGATTATCTAGAGTACATTTTTAGTAGTAAAAAGAGATATTTACAAATATCTGGAAATAATTAGGCTGTAGGGCAGGAGAAAACAAGGTTTGAATTGTTTTTAAATGTTGTATTTTATTTTGCTTTTTGTGGCAAGGAAATATGCTTAGTCACAAGCATGTGGAAAATAGATGAAGTGTAGTTCAAGTCTGTCTCAGTCAATTATTTTAACATACACTTTTTAAATAGCCTATATCTGTTAAAGAAAAAAAGAAACCTCCAGAAGAATCAAGTGACTTGTAACTGAAGGTTTTCATAGTTAAACTTAGTTAACTTTAGTTAAAATAGAAGATGGATAGAACAGACGCTAGCCAGGCTTGCTTAGTACTTTGAAAAAAATGTTGGTGAAATTCCTAGAGAACAGATTTATTTCCTGCATTTCAGTGCAAAATATGTGCAATTTTAAATTATAAAGATGAAGTAAATAATATAAGAGGGTTTTTCCTGTTTTCTTCGTAGGACAGAAATCTTTCGTATTAAGGAAGATCTAGGAAGATCTTCCTTCTTTGGAGTTCTTCAAAACGCACCTGTGCCACATGCTCTGGGTGTCCCTACTGGAGCAGGGGGGTTGAACTAGATGATCTCTAGAAGTCCCTTCCAACCTCCCTCATTCTGTGAAGTTTGTTTCTCTTTTTCTGATGGAATTCTTTGAGGTTACCAACAGAGAATAGTAATAATATGTGAAATTTACTTTTTTTTTTTTTTCTGAAGTCTCTAGCAAGAATTTTTAAGGAGTTTAGAGATACGAAGTAATTATAGGAACTAAGTTGAAACAGTCAAAAATGGCTATGGTAAAAACATTCTTTCTAAGGAATATCCTAGAAGAGATTTAAGCTAGCAGAAGTTGTATTTCATTGAAACTCTTTAAAAAATGCTGGAAATACTGAAATTTGCATTAAGACATTGTATGGTGTGACAAATGAATGCAGCATTCGGTCCCGATTACTAGTTCTCAAAGCAAAAACTAGAATTATTTGAAGAGGAAGATTGAGTCTGGAAAAGTTTAAATATTCTATGTAAAAGAGGCAACATAGAACTTTAGAAGGTTTTTGCATCTCCTTTTCATTGAATAAATGATTGAAAAAATGTAAATATGGAGATGATTAGATGTTTATACTTAAAAGACTATTCTAAGATGTATTTTTAAAATTAATTTATAAGATTCAATTCTCTGAATAGGTTTTTTTTGTAAAATGTGTCTGAAGGAAAGATGTTTTTTTGCTACTCCCTAAAATTTGAATGTTAAAAGATAGTTTCATTTGTTTTTTTTTTCTGCTTTTGTGCTTTATATAGCTTCTGTTCTTCTTCATTTTACCCTAACTAAAAAATCGTTACTCCCAGCATTTCTTTTACCTTACCATTTTCTGCAACTAGGTTGATTGTCTGAGGTTCTTATTGCAGCATTGAGCTCAAAGTAATGTAACTATTACCTTTTTCTCTCTTCTCTGCATGGTCTAGTCAACATATCCATGAATTACCTATAATACTGATTTTTGGAATTGCTACATCTCCAATGATCATCCACAGTTTGCTTCCTCACTCTATTTCCTCTCTGCTGTGCATAGAACTTTTCCAGTCCCTTTCCTGCAAGGAGCACCTGTCTACTATAATTGACAAGGTAATTCCCTTGCTTAGAGAGGGAGGAGTGTGTGTATTCAAGAAAAATGTGCATGGGTGGCCTTTAAAAGTAGGTTTATTTATAGTTTTTGAAGTGGAATTTGTTTCCAACAGCTGTATATTCTGGATATTTTTACTCAAAACTGTGAAGTAACTTATTAACAGCAAGAGTTTCCTCTTCATGCACTGAGAAACACACCTGCTTTTATTTTTCATTTGCATTGACATATATGTCTATATATTGATATGGATGCCTATATATTTGAACAATTATACTTTGTCATTCCCACCTCTTCAGTTAAAGTGGTACTTTGATGTAAGCTTTACTGTATCCCAGAAGTGGATTGCTTTAAACATTAAAAAAAAAAAAAACCAAAACCAAACAAACAAAAAACAAACAAACAAACAAAAGGCACAGAAACAGTTCAGCCAGAATTCTGCTTCTGGTAAAAAATAGCAGATATCTGAATGATCAAGTAACATAGATACTGTACCCGCAGTGTGATTTTTGGTACACCTCTTTCTACAAGATTTCCAAATTCACTGTCATGTATGAAGACAGTAATAGGATTCCTACTGTTAGACAATTTTTGTTCTGCTGTTAATAACTTTAAAAGGAAACTCCAAAACAGAATTAAGTAAAATTAACTTCAAACACTGTATAATTAGTAAAGGCATTTTAAACAAAAATGTTTTGAAATAAGCTTAAATTTTATTGAACTAAACATTGTTTTTCTTATATATTAACGATTTATTTAGTATCTATTCAGTAGAATGTCAACACATACTGAAGGTTGTACCAGATTGCATGTATGAATTTTGCTGAATTTGAATCTGTGAAGGAATTTCTGCCATGACTATTTTTTGACCTTTTTTGTCTCCCTTAGCTACTTCTAACAACTCAATTTGCCTTTAAGCTGAGTGAGAAAGTTCTGCAGGTTCTCATCAACATATTCTTGTACCATGATTTCTCTGTCCAGAATTTTATCAAGGGATTTCAGGTAGGTAATGGTAGAAAGAACACAGATTGTGTTTGGTGGTGAGGGGAAGGGTGGTTAGTGGACACGGGAAGATTTCTTCCTTCCTATCCTTGCTGTAATTGAATTTGATGGAAAAGTGACATCTGAAAACAATTCAGGTCTGTGAACGGTACTGTTTCTGTATTAAAGTCTTGAAGGAAAACTTACAGGATAGGTTGTTAGCAGGTAAAAGTCAGCTTATTCTGTTAAAAAAAAAAAAAGTAGGAACACTTATTTTCTGTGGTTTGGTTTGTATTTTTTAACAACCCGAGCAGAGCTCCCCCAGCTGGATGTGTAGCATGTTGCTGCTTTGATTTTTGTGCCAGATCTTTGTTGAACTGAGTTTCTTAAGCTATGAGTAGCCTCTGCAGCAGTGTCTCTTCCCTGTTTTCCCACCTGATAATATGTGGCCTGGAAAGATGCCCCTGTTGTACTTCGCCCTGCAGGCAGAGCTCATTGATGGGTCCCTCTCATCTGAAAAGGTTGCCAGGGTTTTAATGACTCTCCATTCATGGATGTAAAACAAAAGCCCTGGCTCTGACAGCATGGGGCTGTCTGCTTGTGCATTGAACTACTCAACAAGGAAGTAATTTCAGAAGTTCAGAATTTGTTAGCAGTGCATAAGAGGTCAATATCTTATTTATGTGTGTGACGCACAAATTAAGAGTGACAATAAGTTTTCTGGCAGAAAGTTGCTTTCTGCTCTGATAGTGTTTGTTTTAACTTATTAGTGAGATATTGTGGGTTTGTTGGACTTTTTTTCCAAGTGAAGTTGGCAATAAAGCAAGTCTGTATGAGTGCAAAGACCTTAGCATTGATTTTTTTATAGATGAAATAAAAACTGAAATGAGGACGTGATAATTTGCTTTTGTGCTACAGTCACTTTTCATATCGTGAAAGATAGTCTTTCCTATTTGTGAATACTGGAACTGCATATATAATTAAAAATGCAGTATTCTTCATAAGTGAGTAAACAATAGCAACATATTGACAAATACTTTTAAGAGGGTAAAAAATGAGGCACTGAATAGTACATATAGAAGAAGAAAAGTATGTGACTATTTAGAAGTGAATAATCAGTATCCTTTAGTGACTGGTAGAATATCTGCAAATGGTAGTTAAGATTGTAGTTAAGAAATGCCATTGCTACTGTTGTATCATATACAGTTTAGTAACAGGAAAACTTTAAAGGGTAGATATGGCAAGGAAGATGGATTTTTATTAACACTGCTGGTTCTTGTTTTCTTTTTCAGCTCTGTATTGTGGAACACTTCTATTCCCAACCCCTTAGTGTACTGTGTTGTCAACTCTCAGAAGCTAAGAAGAGAGTAAATTCTTTATCACATAGTCAGTGTGAAAATATTCGAAGACTGCCATCTTTTAGAAGGTAAAGGGAGAAGTAAGTTTTTTTGAACGATCTCTGACAACTTTAAAAAAAATATAAAAAAAATCTCTAAATGTAACATGTTGGAAAATGTATATTAGTGCACATAGCATAAATAAATGTATTAAAATGACAACCCATCAAAATCTAAGTAATTTCAGGAATTCTTATTTGTCTACAGAATATAGCTTCTGTAGTGTGTAAATTGTTATATCACCTGCACTACTCCCACCCCATCCTTACCACAGAAACAGCCTATTCTGACAAATTGCCACAAATCACTTCTCAGTTTATTAATCTGACTTGTAGCGTATCTCTTGGGTTTTATTGTGACCTTGCAACTTGCTGGATCTTACTGTTCCTTTCTGAATCTTTCTGGGTAATCCTTACAGCAGCATAAACTTTTCAAATTTGTCAATCTTATATTTCTTAAGGGTACTTTATGTTATGATTTCTGGTTTTGTTTGTTTTCTTGTGATTAGGTATGTGGAAAGTCAGGAATCAGAGAAACAAATTGCCCTGCTGACATCAGATAACTTCTTAAAGGTAGGTAAAATTAAATAAAAAATCTTCAGAGAGAAAAAATAACTTGCAAAATTAGTAGTATCAACTTTTCTAGAATCAAGTTTTAGCTGTGTGTACAAGCATGACTCCTGTAAAAGAAGGCTTATTTATGGCCTGGTCTTTTAAGGTTTACTCTGACTTTCCAAGAAAGGTACTGAAGTGTTTGCAGAAAGTACTCTTGGAGGTTACTTCAGTAAGCTCTTAATTCTCAATACTCTCTGTTCAGTTTCGGATTGGAATCAGGACAGCCTAGGTGCACATTCACACTAGACAGTGTGTAGGATTAATATTTTATTATGTTAGATGTTTATATGAAGGCTTATAAGAGATTAAAGCCAGGCTACTAGTATTATGAACACTTCAGGAATTCACCATGCTGTGAAAGAAAGATCTGTTGGTTGTTTTCATGACCTGAACATACCCAGCAGAAACATCCCTTGGGATAAAGGTTTTCTGCTAACTCTTCATCTCAAATAGAGCTAGCCTGTCATGGCAAATTGCATTTTCAGAGATGAAACAAGAGAAAGTTGTACTGGCAGAGCTTCCTGGGCTGAAAGGTCTGCTCCAAGTATGAAGAACAACGTTAATGCTTAGAGAAGTTGGTAGCACACAAGTTTGCAGGTGTAGTGCAGTTGTATTAGTCAAATAGATCCTAAAACCATGCGTAAATCATCTCTGAGGTCTTTAATGGCAGTAATAGCTTAAGCTATTGCTCTTCCCATGCTGTCTAATTACACCTCAGCAGTATGTGCTGGCACAGCTGCATGTGTGGCTGTGCTGTGAATAGAGTCAAAAGAAGCCAAATTAATGTAACCTGACTGAAGAAGAAAAGACACAGGAATTCCTGCAAGAAGGCTCATCCTCTTCTGAAAGTATTAGAGTGGCTATTTAAAATTAGCAATACTGCTATTAGTTGGTTTGCTTGGTGTGTGTGTGTGTATGTGCGTGGAGAGAGTACTGGAAGAAATTCAGATAGTAAGTAAAGGCAGTATATGAAAATGCAAATACAAATGTACAGATTTGGTGAGAACTGTATCAAAGGAGTGAATGAGAAGGCTGTGCCTGTCCAGAAGAGATAAATGAGTTACAGGAAGGTGACAGATTTGCACAAAGTACAAGTAGTTTGAAGAAAATAAATTCTCCATCATCACAAGATGAGAGACACTGAATTAAATTGAAGTGATATTTAAAGTGAAGGATGCTATTTTTACACAACTCTTAAATAAGCTCTGAAAAATGTGCCATGTATGTAACTTACTAAAAATTATTTTCAAATGGATCAAGAAAGCAAATGCTGTTTGTATTAGTTTTTTTGAGAGAATGCTTTCTAGGAGCATTAAAAAGCAAATTCTGGTTCTGCGACTTGTGTATAGATGCAAGGTATTTGCTCTTGATTTCACCATCCACTGATGCAGGTGGTACTCCTCATTTTTAGATGTTGATACTGGCATCAATAGATTGTTCATCCGTTATACGTGTTGCACTGTCGTCTCTACAAACTTTTGTAAATTTTTATGGGTCTCTTGATAAAGATGACATAACCTGAGGGACAGCTAACTATGTTCATAGCTGCTAAGAGAGGTAGCTCCCAGCTACTGTTTTCCTTTTTTTTTTAGTTTTTTTTTTTAATTAAAAAAAAAAAGTTCAGTAGATGGACTGCTGTTGAGAGAAGATACAGACTTATGCCCTGTGTAGCTGAATATTGTTTAATTAATTTCTGTGTCGACTGGGGAGATGTCCAGCAACTGGTTGTGACTGTATGAAAGTGATTTTTTTGTTTTGTTTTTATTTCTATTCATGTAACAAAAGGAAAAAAAAAGGAAATTGAAAAAGGAATTGAAAAAAAGGATTTTTTTTTTCTGTTTATGGCTACTGGAAGCTTTACCCTATAAGTATGGCATATTTGTTTTTTCACTTGTGTGTATCTGTGCCAGCCTCGGATGCAAGGGATTCAAAGAGCTCTCTCTGGCTGCAGGGGTTTCAGTGCTCCAGCTGGAGGATATCTGGGGAGCTGACAGGTAGGAGGCTGCAAGGAGGGAGCAGAGCTGGGCCCCCAGGAGGAGGTGGCTGTGGAGCCAGCCCCCAGCCTGAGAGCCTCAGGGAAACTCGGCTGAATGGGAACAAAGTAAAGAGCTGCAGGAAGCTTGTAGTTTACTGCGGTCTTTGAGAGGGGATGAAGAAGCCTCTGCGGGGGCTTGACTTCCCCTGGGTGCCAGAGGAGAGTGGAGAATAATGAGAGTAGGGAGACCTTCTCGGGGACTCCTGAAAGACAGGGAGTCGCAGAAGGTTTTAAAACAGTTCCCCCAAGGACACCATTGCACTGCTCTGGAATGAAAGGGCTCCTTAAAATTCTCTTAACCTACAATTGTTTGAGGTTTTTCTTTCCCCTCTGGGAAGAGCTATGGATAGCTGAGCACAAGTAGTTTCAGTGCTCCAGTTCTCTAGTTTAGGAAATGTAACTCTTGGGTATAACTATATTCAAGACTTTCTTTAAATCAATATCCTGTTTTATTTGCCTTACCTTTATTGTATGTTTGCTTGGCCATCAAGAGATCATTACAGACCTTGTGATAGTAAGTTTTTACAGAGGCCAAAAAGTGCTGGTCTGTGGACTTCTAAAAGTCTTAGGACTTCTTAAAACAGAACGAAGGGGAGAAACTATATGCCTTACAACTTTATTTGGCATATTACACAGTCCTACTGCACATACATGCATGTATTTATGCACATATATATGCATGTATGAATTACCTGAGAAACAGGAAAAGGGATATACAATTGCTATAATGTGCTGGCTTTGGGAGAATGAGATTGCCTTGGCAGTGTTAAACAGAACTTGTTTTCTTCTTTTAGCTTTTTCATAGTGTGGGTAACTCCATCCCTCCCGCCTTCCTAATGATCCTGCTTAAAATTAAAATATGAACTCATGTATGTGTATCCTAAGATCTTGGAAGTCATTTAAATAAGCTGTATCAGTGAGCCTTAAATTTTGATGAATAAAAAGGCTATGGGGAGAAATATCTTTTAATATTCTAAATTGCCTCAGACTTTAACGTCCTGGAAAGCTCTCTGCAGAATTAAGTACCTCTGATACCTTCAATCTTTGCAGTCTGACTAACAATTTAAGTGATACTTACAGTTTTTCCATGTGTCCATGCTTTTTTTTTTTATAGACTGCAGACAGTACTCTTAACACTGGTGATTTAAATCGCAGAACACTAAGATGGATCTTCAGACTCATTTTAGGTACTTTGTGATAATTTTAAATAAATGAATATCAGAATTATTGAAAACAACTATCCTGTTACTATAGGAAGCAGTACAGAAGTTACTGGAAGACTTGCATGTTTACCACGAGAACTATGTGCCGGTTCTGAGGTGCCTTCATGTTTTCACATCTTCTCTTCCAAAGTATCCTTTGGGCAAACAGGTGAAGTATTGTTACTCCATTTCAGTGAAACAGAGATTTTTGTTTCAGTGTATTGGCTCTCTTTCTACTATTCTGCTGCTTGTCCCCTGCCTCCCAAGTAGAGGCAGGTGTATTCTTATTATGGATAAGAGAGCAGCAGGCAGTTTCTGCCGTGGCTTGGATCATACCTCGTTCACATTCAACTGCAAGGAATTTGTAGGAGGCAGCAGCTGCACAGATCAGCAAGAGTTTATGCAGGTTGACTCTCCCAGATCTGGAATTTTCTGTAGGCATTGCAGATTATGTACCCTGACTACCACCTATCAGCTTATTAGGCAAATTCAGATGAGAGTGAGATTTAGCAACCTTCTGTGCAGAATAAAATGATAAGAAGGGAACACTGATAATTGCTCTTGATAGCCAAATTGCTCTTAGGTCATTAAATCCACCTTCTTATGCTGAGCAATTTCTTCTTCCATTAGCAGAACAGTAAATTCTGTGCGTGCTCACTTGTCTGTTAATTTTCAATGTATTGCACACTGTTATTAGAGTTTGTCCCGAGTTGTAAAATCAGTGTGAACTGTGCCATAGTTGAGAATAAAACAGTATTTCAGTTGGGGCTTTTGATTGGAGATTCTTTCTGGCCTTTGAATTTCTCTTCCTCTGAGTCCTCGTTATTTGAAACCTGGTGCAGGGGAACACACTGAATCCAAACACATTTAGTGTCTTGCTGAACGGAGCTCTCGATGTTCTCAATTTCTATTGCAATCATTCTGCCTCTCTGGGAGGCAAGCTCCAAAGGAGTTGCCTATTACTTTGAAAAGCTTTTTGTTAAGAGTTGCCCATTGCATTGTTTGTAAAACTTCTCCTTTTTTCCCCTGCTGGGTAACAGATCAGGGAGCTGCACTGTGCATGTTTGGAAAGCAGAGTGTGGGAGACAGAGGACTATGAGTCATCTCTTCAGCTAGCAAGGTGATTTTTTTTTTCCTTTTCCATTTTGTTTTAATAGCATTGAAGGTGCATAAGAATATCAGTCATCTGTTCTTCTAGAACTTTGAAGTGAAAGCACTGTTCATTTGTAAGCTTTGCAGTTAATTGTAGGATTGTTTGCAATTATAGTTGAATGCTGTTTTTTTCTATTTCAACTCCTTTCGGTGGAACCCAACCAGATTCTAGTATCTCTTGTGCTTCTTTTCAATCCATTGAGATTACTTTGTGTGACTGGGAACATCAGCTGGACTTCTGCAACCTGCTTTAAAAAACAATTCTTAAGTGTCTTTTAAAATGTGATTGTGTTAGATCTTCTAGTACATATATTTTTGTTCTATCTTTTTATAAATTCTTTTTAGCAGTTTTTCAGTCAAGTTATGAGTTCTTGTTGGCCTATATTTTGCCCTCTTTTGAAAACTATAACCTGGTTCAAATGAATAGCTGAGGCCTTTCTTATTTTCATGTGCTTTTATTTTTTTTTCCCCCTGAAAACTCTCCTACCTTTATGTACCACAGAAGGGTAAATGGCTCCTGTTATTGTGAGCTTAAGACTTGAGGAGAACTTACACTGCTGTTACATGTCGGTGTTAAAATACGAAAGTCGGCTCAGCCAGTTTTCTTAATGGAAAACCCTTCAATTGTAATGTTACTTCTATAAACTTCTATACATGCCTTATCATGACAGATGACTATTTCATGCAGCCATTCAAGTAACAGTTTGGTTCTGGCACACAGTGCTGTTACCATAACTGCCTTTTCAGTCTCTAGGTGTGTGAGGTTTAATGTCTCTGACAGTGAAATTGGATGGAAAAAGAGAACATTTTGATGGAATATGGAGGATGACTTTCTGGGCTCATATACATAAAGAAACATAGTCCACAAACTGTATCTTTGCTGTCCTGAGTTGTTCTCCTGCACTGCTGCTTCACTATATATACATATATATTTTTTAACATTCATCCCTTTAAGGGGTTACGTTCCTGAGCTGTCATTTCTGCATCATTTCTTCCAAGTTCGTTCTTGCCTCTCATGAATCTAACACCCCTCGGTCACCCATCAGCCCTTGCCCACAAATGTGTCACCATGCTTTTCTGCACGGTCTGTTCTCCCATCCCTAACAACTCTGTTGCTTTTTCTCTCCTTTTGCTTCTCCTACATTTGATTAACTTCCTTTCAGCCTGAGCTCTTGTGCTTCTCCTATCTCAAGGTTAACACTGCCATTAACTTCTGGCTTGCCTCCGCCTTTATTCTGACTATCTGCTCGTCTCTCTTCTTCTCTGATACTGACTTGCCCTGCAGAGAACTTCTGGTAGAAAGACAGTGCTCAGGGTGATTTCTTTAATAGAGAACTCTTCCTCTCTCCTCATCAATTCTGTCTTTTTTTCTAATGAAATAACTCCTTCAGATGGTCCAGCTATGGGATTTCAGCTTCTGGATGTTCTGTTTCCCCTGACTCCCCCCTGCCAACTCTAACACACACTTTAGCTCCATTTTGCTTTTTGCTTGAACTTGTCTCTGCTTTCTATGTGTAGGATTTTGCTGCTATCCTTTAGAAGAAAGCTGATAAAATGACATTTTTCTCCTTCTATTCACAATCCTTTTTCCTTCCCCCTTTGCTCAGGTGAGTTACTATTTGTTAATACCTTTGCCTTCCAGTAGTCCCATGCCCCAGTGATACTCATTATGTTCATCCTTCCCTCACTTTTCTTTTGGATCCATTCTGAAGTCTATCGTTTTTTCTTTGTACTTAAGAAAAAAGAAAAGCTCCTCGAGGGCTCTTTAGTGCTCTTACAAATGTGTCATTACTGTTCAGAATCATGGTATTTATGGACTGAAAATCATGGCAAGCGTGTGTAAGGATTCCAGACTTGACACAGTGACCATAATTCTGGTGCTTGTTTATGGATATTTGTAAGGATTTATTTCGATAGCTTTTGAATGAAAATGCTGAGACTAAGGACTTCCTGGTGACTTTTATAAAAATGTTATGCTAAGCAATTAAAACTTAAGTAAAAGCTAATAGTTATTTTTATATTATTTAAAGGCAGAAGGGAATAACTTGTATTTTTAGGAGATTTCAAGAACAAGAATTTTGAATCTCAGAGTACAGAATTTTTTGAATGTATGAATTTATACTAATCCAGTTATCCATTTTCACCCATCTTCCTGGGAATTACAAACTGTACCATTCTCTCTGTCTTTTTTTTTTCTTTTTTCTGGAGGGGGAGATATGTGAGGAGGGTGTGGTGGTTGATTTGAACTGCAGCTTTGCTTTAAATTTTGTAGAGAAAGTGAAAAAAGCATTTACTTCTATGCAGGTTGTTCTTGCTTTTTTGTTAATGGCAGCAACTAAAAAATATTTCAGCAAGACTTAATGCTTGAAGAAATCTTGGAGGTTCTTTTCTTTAAAAGGAGGTTTTCAAATTACTCTTATTTTTTTTCCTGCTAAGCATTTCAAAAGATATTATACTTAATCTTCAGCCAACAATTATGTCTTTTAGGATGTTGAATAAGTCTGACTTGGTAACCATGCTTCAGAAATGTGTGGAGATTTTTGTGTCATCTTCTGGAAAAGACTTTGATAAGGTGGTAGAGAAGTTGAAGGACTTCTTAGCCCAGTTTCAGAAACTGGAAGGTAAGAGTGTGTCATCATACAACCCATTATAAAACATCTTTAAAACAAACTGCATCTAGTCAATGAATATCACTTTTACCCTATCAAAAAGTACATCACAAAATTAGGAAATGCATGCGTTATTTATTGTTATGGTAAATAGTTTGGGGTTTTTTCCTAGCACAAAAAACTAGCATGAGACGAGATAAGAAATTGGATAAATGTTACTAATTCTGTCATACATTATTTTTGAGAATTTTACCAGATACTGCAGTCATTTAAAAATATCTAATAAATAAAAATGAATCTTTAAATATTAACAGGAGCAGACCTTTGATATTGAATCAGTTGTCAGAGCTCTGTTGACATGCTGAGACTTGATAAGGCATTAGAGGGGATGAATTGGAAAATTTAAGAAAGTAGGTGAACAGCAGCCTGCCTCTTCCAGTGACTGGCTCACTGAAACTGCCATATTTATTTTGAAAGTGACTCCTTGGATTAAGAAGTGCTGCCCCACCTTCCTATTTTGAAAATAAAGTGGCTATCAGCTGGTCTGATTTGTGTGTGTTAATTTAAGTTCCTTGTTGGCTGGGATTGCTAGCCTATATTTAGACAAGTAGGCAATAAGCCACCAAATGCAGTCTGCTATTAAATATAGTCATGTAGCACTCTGGGGAAATGGAAGCTTATTTAGAAGAATTCATTAAAACTCAAATCACTACATAACTTCAGTAACAGAAGAAAGCAAGAGGAGTTTTATCCTGCCTAACAGCTATAGAATAAATGATAGCGTTACTTATCTGTAGCTGTAAATGGATCTAGTGATATCACCAGCACAGTGCAGGAATGTGGAGATTGCTTTGAGTAGGCTACACATATCAGCAAAGATGAAAAATCACAGTTCTGAAGGACCTGAACTATAATGGAAGGGCTTTTTTTTTTTTTTAATTAGTGACATGCAGAACTATAAAATAAAAAGCCACTATTTATTTAAAGTTAGGATTTTTAGGATGTTTGTTAAAGCAGAGAAGGCCAGATGAGTTCGTGGATGATTTCGCTCTGCTTTGAGGGACTTGAGAGTGTAATGAAAAAGTACAGATACATTTTAAATGAATAGATTGCTGAGTCAAGGGACTTCTTACTGTATGCTGCTGTTGTGTTGACCTTTAGTAAAAGTTTTCAGAAGTTTGTGGAAAAAAGTGTTGTCTATCAAAATTTCCTTCAGAATCCCTTAGAGTAAAGGGATAGTCCAGAATCTGCTTTTTAAACTTAATTTTTAAAAAAAGCCTTTCCAAGACTGCCTAGTGATTTTAAAGAGCTCAAAACATAGAGCTTTGGGGGAGCAAAATCACCTTAATAGACTTGTGTTGAATCTATTGCGAGCTGAAGGATTTGATTAACAACATCACAAGTTGCATAGATCGGTGTAATATTGGAGAGAGGAAAATTCTCTCTTTTGAAAATTTTAATGTGGATAATGTTATAATGTAATATCTTTAATTATTAAATCTTCATTATCCATTCATATTGACATCTTTAAATCCTTGTTTCAGTTCAGCACTGGAATTGCTCTGAGAGCAACAGATTTTTTTCTTTCGCAGCAGTGAATGTGTTGGTTTAAAAAAAAAAAAGAGGCTGTTATTAATAAAGATTTTTGCTGGAGGGTGTGTCTGTGTGTGTACGCATGCTGTTGACAACATCAAGTATTTGAGAATTGTGAACAGGAGCAAAAAAGATGTAATTTAAAGATGAGTTTTGGTTTAGCAGTGTCTATGAGCTTTAAGGGTGGACTTACTTCATATAGTGGACTAAAACATAACATTTTCTTATTTTTCAATAATATCTGTTTTTTTCCTGCATTTTTTCCGTCTAGATTTGGGAGTTTGGGAATTACTAAAACAAATCAAGGCTGGTCATAATAAAATAAGGATTGTGCTTCATTGAAGCTAGGCAACAGCTTGCAGTCCTGTGCGATTCATTGATATATTTTGAACTATCAATTATATAATAGAAAGGGATTGTTGTGTTGCCATTTTCTGCTAGATCTTTGCTGTTCACAATGAAATTGCAAGGATGATTTTCAGTGGTGAAGTCACCTGGATGCAGAGCACTAAACTGAAAATACCAGCTCACTTTGTACAAGTCAACAAGCGGCTTTCGGGTATTGGGAACGTTTCTGCTGCTCAGAGCTTGACCTGTGATCTGCAGGTGGACTCTCCACCTTGCTGTTATGCTCAAAAGTGAGGCAAGAAATCTAGTTACTTTGTGTGCTGATTGTGATTAGGAAATAGTCTTTATCACTCAGCTTTCATTTTTTTTTCTTTGCTTTCTTGTTTTTTTTATATATTTTTCATTTAAAATCACTAAGAATTGGTGTGGTAATTGACCACCAAACTGTATTACTAATCTGCAAATATACAAATGTTGAGAATGTGACCCAGGGTGACATAAGTAGAACTCAAGTGACATACAGGGCTAGCACTGGATCTCTGCTCATGTGTGAACTGCTTCGGTTAATTACTGCTGCTCTTGGTTTCTTTGGGGGAGGGGATGTTTATTTATTTTTAATAATCTATTATCTACTTAATAGTAGCCTGTGCTTGAATGTTCATCCTACGCAAAGAAGTAACTGAGTGCTTCTCCATTTCCCTGGGTTAATGGCTTATATAACTATTCAGAAAAGATTTATTCTTATCAAACATAAATTTAATTCTAATAGCAGGAGTTTGCCAAGAACAAGAGGAATCCATATCATCACAAAAGGAGCTCCAGAAGAAGACAGACCTGTATCACCTGCAGAAGGTGAGGCTTGGGTAGGCTCCACAGCTGTCCCTGCCGGACTTCTGAGTAAAGGATGTCTATAAGCAACTCATCCTTAAAATGACCGAACATATGGCGAGTGTGTACATCAGGCCCACCTGATGCATAGAAAATCATAGAAGATAACTGCAATGAAATAGGATTTCAGAATGTGAATTAGGAGTTTTTGATTTCTTTTTTCTTGGGTAACTTGGAAATTAGATATCCTGCTTAACTCTTATTTTTTCAAGCCAGAGGTTTGAAGAATTTCCCTAACTACCAGCTTGAGGACTGGATACACTGGCCTGAGTAGAAATAACTGCACAATCACAGCTTCTAACATCATCAGGGAAGATAGGCCAGCAAAAGCAATTGCTCGTATAAATATAGCTTGTGTTTTGCAAAGAATAACTACCTCCCATGTAGCTTTATGCACCACTTTCTTTTTTTTTCCAAGACCTTGCTGGAGTTGAAGGAATCAAGGAGATCTAAGAAAATGACAAAGTTTGAAATGCTTCGTTTTGAAGTTGTTGACTTTATAGACAGTCTTGTAAGGTAGGTGCTCCTGTTTTATATTCCTCCCTTAGTCTGATACTGCTCTGTAAGCTGCAACAGAAACTTTGTAAATGAGTTAACACAGGGAAGAAATCTCATCAAAATTTTCAGTCCTGTGAGTATGAAGTACACTTTTCTCCTTCCTATTCCTTCTTGAGTGAGATCTCTAAAAATAATAATTTCTCTTTCATGGATTAATACAAGCAACTGGCACATAAATTGACCTATTTATTTTGGCTACGAAATAAAGCTGAGGGAGGATTGAGTGTGTGTGGTGAAGCAAAGTCAGACTTTTTACCCTAATCTTTGCTGATCTCTTCTGCTTATGAAACTGTATAGATGTCAAGTGTGATAACCATTTTGGGAACTGTTTGAGCAAGCAAGGCAGAGCAGAATAGGATTTTTGAAGCAATTCTGCCAAAGACAATCTGGAAGACTTTGGCGAGAGGAGAGGGGAGATGAAGGCACGTCTTGGGGAGGCCTTGAAAGTGTGGAACAGAATGGGAAGCTAGAGGCAGAAAATAAGACAGAACCATGACTGTGCCAAGAAAATGCTTCAGATATGAAGACTAAGATGAGCAGAGACTCATCAGAAGACTTAAAGAAGTATAATATCTGTGGAGTAGAATAAATTACTAGAGTCACTGGCCTAAAAGTTGAATCCTTTAAAGACATTGATGATCAGTGACTTCTCTGCTTAGCAGTTCATGTTAGTGGTGCTAATCTCTTCAGGTTTATCTGCACTGGTTGAGAAACATAAGGTTGTTGCAGACTGATTTCCTTGGGTAAAGCTTGTGTCTTTTCTCTCTTTGCTCTCTCCCATCCCCCCTGTTGCTTTTTCAGAAATTACCTTGTCCCTGCAGACCACAAGACTCTGCATGAGATAATGTATTTCAACACAGCCAGTGCTGTGCGGGAGCACCTGAACGCTGCCCCGCGGATTGCCCTTCACACGGCTTTGAATAACCCCTACTGCTACTTGAAGGTGAGGAACAAGGGGTTGCTGGTGGCGCTGGGGCAGTGCCTGAGGGCTGCGCAGGAGCGTGATGTGCCTGTCTCAGTTTTGCTGTTTCATGAAGCTTGGCACACGGTCAGCTGCAGGGAACCAGCAAGTTGCTGTTGATAAGCAACTAGGGACTGCAAAGAGCTAGTCTGGCTGAAAGGAAGCAGCTGATTATGGAAAGCATTTTGGATGGGAAAGCTGTTTTCCAGAGCTTGCGCTAGCTGGGATCCTTGTAGACATAGCAGAAAAGCTTTTGTGTCTTCCATTATGACTGGGATCACTATGGAAAACAAGAAGAGTGTCAATGGCTCTTTCCAGGGACTTTAGCTGTACAGGACTGTTGTTTAGTCCTCGCTGTGTGGAGTTGCTGTATGGCACACACTCTGTTCAGGCAGAGTGGGAAACTTGCAGGAGACTAAATACAAGACTATTTATTAAATGAGGGTGTATTTTGTTGCAGGAGTGTGTGTGGGGAAAACGTTTTAATATCTGTGTATTGACCTCCAGTATTCTCTGAAGTTGATTTTCCTTTGTCATCCTGCACTTTGTTCTCTGACTTCTTTTAATGTGGCTTGGATGCTACCTGAGGAGGGGGTGGGGGTTTTGGGTGGTCTCTGACAGCAGCAGTACTGGCCAAGTACTTTGCAAGCATGTCAGTCTACGGGAGCCCAAGAAGTATTTTTCTGTGCAGTATCCATGACTTCTGCATGGCTCGTGCTTGCCTGGGTCGTGACCAGAGCATAGTTCTCCAGGGTGTTCCTAACAGAAGGGTGGTAGGGGCAAAAGACGATCTGCCTCAGTGAAGTACCAGCAAATGATTAATGACACAGTTCACTGCTTGGGGGAAACAGGTCCAGCCATTTACTTGGCAGCACATGAACAGGGATGATGCTGAAGGGAAATGTGCATGCAAAAAAGGCAGATGTGTATTTGTGGACTGTGTGAGTGGTGCCCTCACGTAGGGAGGTACTTCAGCTCCAGCTAGGAGCCCTGCTCCCCGCGAAGACCCAAAGCAGAGCCCCGAGCTGCAGCAGAGCTCACTCGCGGCGCTGCCTCCCTGTGGGGAGCCAATGTCCCATGCAGCGTCCATGGCCTGAGCCCTCCACCCCGGAGCAGCGCTCGCGTCCGTGCATGATTGCTGCCCACCAAGCCCTTCCAGGAGGAGGCAGCCGCGTTCCCGGGCTTGCTCCCGCAGCTCTAGTACCTATCTGGCCTCAGAGGCAAGGCAGGGTTAGGGAGCAGCACCATGAGGAGCCCCGGGCAGCTCGGACAACTCGCTGCCTCAGGAAGGGGCAAGGCCCGATCCCTCAGTCTGCCTTCCCTCCGTGTCTTGCTGGAGCCTCTGTTAAGCCAGTTCAGCTCGCTAATTGACAGGTAGGTTTTATTGCGTTGTTGTCGTCACTTTTGGAGCCTTATAGTGGGTAGGGAATAGTTTGTAAAATAAAATCTGAGATGAGGGAAGCAATTACACTTTTCAGCACGTGTTGCAGATCTTTCACTTCCTCTTTCCTTTTGCGGGGGAGGGAGACAACAGACTCTCCTGTCTGCTGTGTACTAAAAGCAGACAGCATCATGATCCGTTTCTTTTCTTGAAAACATAGAACAGAAGGACTAGCAAGAGAAATGCAAAAAGCTTAGGCAGAAAAGCTCTGCCACTACTGCAGAGAATGCTGAAAATGTAGAATAGGAAAAAAATGCTGATTGAGAAGCTTAAATAGTACAAAAGAAAACTAGGAGTGAATTAGCTTTTCTTTCCCCCCTCTTAAATTATTTTTTTCTGGTGACTGATGTTTTTTTTCTTGGCACCATCAACTTGCCATTAAATGCACAAACAGTAACTGGTTACAAAAATAGCTGTGAATTTCCTGAAGTGATGTGTTATCTAGCCCTAGAGATCGTTCAAGATGAAAAACTGTTCAAAACTTCTGCCTCTGTGTTCTCTTTCCCATCAGAATCAAGCTTCGAAGAGTGACGGAGGATCCATTTCCAATAAAGCCCCCGACGTCTGCATCGCGTACAAGCTGCACTTGGAGTGTGGCAGGTTGATCAACCTCGTTGACTGGCTGGAGGTACGTGGCAAGGCGCACTGCGGCTCTGCTGCTGCCAGGCCGCCGCTCCTGGCTCTTTGCTGCATCTCTGCTCCTCTTCGCCGCCCCTTAGGACAGGCAGCCGAAGTCGGTGCCCCCTGCGTGCAACACACGGTGCCTTCGCACCACCAGCCTTCGAGTCTGTGAGTCACTTATTACTGGTATTGTTACTCTGCAGTGAGAATCTGTGCTCTGCCTTGTATGTTGTGTTCAGCGCAGACCAGATTTTGTGCTTCACGAAGCTGCCCTTTTCCCTTTTACTTCAACTGTTGCGTGACAGTTCAGTGGAAAGAGGCAAGTGCTGCTGCTGCAGCGTGGGGCTCCTGGGCAGAATGCAGCTGCTAGGGAAGAGCGAGGTGAGGTGTTCTGGCCCAGCATCCTGCCTCTCACTGCGACCAAAACCAGAGTGTAAGAACAGGATGTGCAGATACGTAATACACTCTGCAAGTGCTCCTCAGCCACACGACTCTGTTAGCTCTAAAAATTATCAAACTGGAGTAGTCTCTCCACTTTGTAGCCCCAACTGGATTGCATGAGCAATTAACTTTTTAGCAACCCCAGCTAATTCCTTCCCCCTGTGGGAAGGAATTCTGTAGCTGAACTACATGCAGAGTGGAGGACACTCTCCTTTTCCTTATTCTAAAGCTGTTTTGTTGCTGCCTTCTTTGTGTCTTGTAAAAGAAAGCAGGCAGAAGATACTGCTACAGCCTCCTCATGTCACTCGCAATTTTATAGGCCTCTTCACAGACCGCTCACCATGTTAATTCCCCAGACTAAACACTCTGCCTTGGCAGATGTTTTTCAGCTCTGTACTCCTGAGAACTGGTCAGGGAACAAAACAGTACTGGCATTTAAAATGCAGACACACAAAACGGTCACCACGTGAGCCCTTCTGTTGCGAACGCCTGCCCTGACAGTACCCAGCCTTGCCTGCTCTTTTGCCTGCTGTTGAACTGAGGTTCTTGCGGAGCAACCGTCACCCGAGCATCTCCTTCCCCCCACGCGAGGGGATCAGCATTTTACATGCAGCTCTGTGCATAAAATGCATTAAACCTGTGCTGCTTTTCCCTTTCCAGGCCTTCTCAACTGTGGTGACGGCAGTTGAGGGACCAAATGGAGATGCAGCTGTCTCGGACCAAGTGGATGACGTTATCCAGTATCCTTCCTTTTTTTTTCTCTTAAATGGTATTTATTTTCATTCAAATGCTGACAGGATTAGTGAACTAGGATTTTTAAAATATCTCATTAGTGCATTAAGAACTAACTCCAGCAGTAATGATGTTGCCACAGAGAGGAGCTGAATACTTGTAGAAAAGGAAGTTTAACTACAGGAAGAGTATTTAGCATAGTATTTAATACTACATGGATAAAGCTATTTTTCCTTTAGTAGAAGGCCATTCATGTTTTGCAAGTTCCACTGGTAGTTACCCCAAAACTAAATTCTCTTTCACTGCCAGATATGCAGCTGTGTGTCAGGAATGCAGTGAGAGAGGTGCAGTAGTGAGTAAACAGAACATGGCAGTGTTGGTGAAACCTCTAAAAAATCTGTGTAATTCTCCTCCCCTTTTCTTGTCAAGGGCCTTGTGTTCAGGCAGCAGAAAAAAATACTGATTAGCTTGACTACTGGTGTTTCTGTAGGCTGCAGGCCCTGCTCTGCCATTGCATCTAATGTCTTATGTGCAGCAAGTCCCTGCCGTGACTTAAAACTCTTCCCTCCTGGAGAGAATGGTGTTACCCATTCCTGTGATTAAAATGCAGGTGCAGTTTCCTTTACTGAAGCCCCCAGTGCTCGTTTCATTCGAGCCGTTTCGGAACTGGAGCTCCTGGGCTTCATCAAGCCCAGCAAACAGAAAACGGATCACGTGGCACGGCTGACATGGGGAGGCTGTTAGGTGGCCAAGCCAAGGAAGGAGCCCACGGAGATGTTCCATGTGCTGCAAACTTCAGTAAATGGGTTCTTTATAACCTGGTGCAAGGGCTTTGTTCTTACTACATTAACTTCTGGTAACTCTAATTTTAACCCAGTATGCAAAGATGGCTGAATATTATAAGATGAAAGATTTGGTTGCCTTGATGAACCGTTAACAGAATGCCTTTTCTTTTTTTTTGATAAAACAGCCTTCATACATGATGTACTGCTCTTTTAATACACGTTTCAAATACTGCTTGCTCTACCAGTTTTAATCTTCTTTGATGTGTGATAGCTAAGACTATATCAATATCATGCAGGCTACCAAGCCAAAATGAGAACACTGGCTATGTAAGATAAATGATGAAGCAACACTGTTAATTTGTGCATAATCTGATGGGATTTGAGTCATCATTACAAAACGTCTTCTAGATCTTTGAATACCTAAAAATAAACCTGGTGGTGACCTGTGCTTAAAAAAGATGGTAAGTAAGTAGTGGCCATGTTCAGCGCAAGAGCACATTCTTCCACTCAGTGTTTTATACACAGACCAGCCTGCAGACCTCTGAAAGGCTTGTCATAAGGGGAAAGGAACAACCATTTTGGAGATGCAGATTTTGCTTCTGCTCTTATCAAAGGGTTTAATCTGTTCCCTTCTGTTCCCTTTTTAGAGAGAGTTAGTTTGTACCAGCCAAACTTGCTGCCCAGAGAATTTATGTCAGCACAGGCTAAATGAGAACATAGCACTTGAGCACTGGAAGAAGGTAGTAAAACGTGTATTGGTGATGCACAATAGGACAAGGGAAACAGGAGAACAAGGTAACTGGCGGTTGGCAGTGTTACAATGCTGCTTTTCTAGCAGCTCTTAAGTGGGGAAAAAAAAATGCTTTGCTGGACAGTCTTCTAAGCCCAGGAGGTGCTACTCCTTCTCCGCTCTCTGCCCAGCACAGTGCAAGCTCCACGTGCACAGGGCTGCTGCAGGAAGGAACCCCCCCACCTGAGCCAAGGACGCAGAACAGGGCTGAGCTGCAGCTTGGCTTTTAACCAGTCCTTTCAAAGCTTCACTGCAGTATTTACAGAGCAAACGTATTTATGTTGATGGCCTGATGTCCATGTTTCCTAAGCCTGGGAAAAGCTGCATTCCCTCCACAACCCCCTCTATCCTGCCATACTTTGATAAACTGCCTTGAGGGCTACGAGATGGGTTGCAGCTGTATGGGCACAAATACTAAGTCTGAACTTCTAACTGCAACCCTTTGTCCATCTGAGCAAAGGGCTCTGTTTCCTCTAGAAGACTGTTCACCTCCCCCAAACCCAGCCTGCCTCAGCTGAGAAAAAGAATGTGAGAGAGGAACTGGTTTCAGTGTGTTGTAGTCAGGTGGCACTAGACTCCAGCTGCTTCCTTGCACTGACCCAGCTGTCCTCAACTTCAGCCTTGCCCCTCATAAAACACAAAGAAAAGCACTATAGAAAACTACAGCCTGCTGCTCCAAAGGGTGAATCACTTTTTCAAAGCAAATGGCTGTAATGGGACAGGTGCAAGTCCCACTACAACAAGCCTAGAGCAGAACCTGACAGTACTTGGAGGAGCAGATGCAAGAAAGGCAAGGGGTTGAGAGATACCATCAGGTAAGATAAGGGCTTCAGTCATATTTTTGTCACGTATTTGTGAGTGCCCTAGTTGCAGCAGAGGTACTGGTTGGCAAAGACACATGAACATCTGCTGAGCTTAAGAAGGGACCCCGGTCCAAGTGCTGTAAAACAAATTAAGCATCAGAGGAAGATGAGAAGTTTATTGGCCTTGGTTTGTTGAGTGTCTCAACATACCCACTGCAAATAGTAGTGACAGGAGGTCACACAGGAGCAGAGCAACAGTCTGAGGATCCCAGGGAGGCATTTGCAAAAAATTTGTCTGTTCTAGGCACCAAGACAAGGGACTAAAAATCTCCAAGGACCGAGGCAGAGCCCTAACTAGGATACCTCCCTTGTAGCTGCTCATGGAACTCTTGCACTACATTATAGAGAGAGGAAAATGAGAAATTTCAGTATAGCTCCACAGCTCCTTCCTTTTCTGAACCTGACCTATTTATGGCGTAAATACAGCTGAAAAATCAAAGGAGGAGCAACCCAGCCCCCTGCCTCACTCTTCACCAAGGGGCACAGGCAGCCAAGTGCTCCACACACCTGTCCCCTTGGCCCTTCCTACACCCTGCAGACGAAAGATGAGCTAGTTTTCCAACTCTAAATTTTAGACCTTTTATGGGTAAAATATTTGGAAATATGAGGAGCAAGCCTCAATAGCACATGGCTTTTAAGCTATTAAAATGGGCAGATAGCATTAAAAATGAGTAAAATAAACAGTAACTGGCTTCCTCCCCCTCCCTCATTTAACCAGTAACATGAACGTTAAAGCTTAACATCATTTACACTTACTCCATGATCTGTGGTTTCTTGGGATCAAACCCTTAGTTCAGAACCTGGCACCTCATAAACTATACCCTATAATAAACATTTTACACTAGTATATTGCTTTAAGACAGCCATATAATTTGTTTTTCCTGAGCAAGGCGGGTAGGAGGGTGGAACAGCTAAAAATCAGGCAACAAAACTGCTTATAAATATTATATCTAATTTGCTATATTATATCTAATTTGCTTTCTGTTTAGAGATTGGAATTGGCTCAGTCCCAACTCCCCTGTCTCCAGTGTTCATGAGATGTGAACATGACAAAAAAGCTCCCCCAAATGCCTGAAAGCGTGCAAAGAGAAGCCTAGTTAGGCTTCTCAAGACCCCCATATTCCAAGTAAAACTACTGATAAAAATTGCACCTTAATAAGTTAGCTACAAATACACTGATTTACTGTATTACTACTATTTTGCTACTCTGAAACCTCTTTACAGTACTGTTTCAGAGACAAGATAAATATGAAAAAAATGAGGGAAGCTAGAGCAGCAGTGAAATCCAAGAAACCAGCTGCCTGTTCTGGAGCCAAACATTCTTCCTCACATTTTTCATCTCAGAATTTCAGAAGTGGTAAAAAAATGTTTAATTACTCCCAATGCAAAGGTCCTTGCGCCAATTCAGAACAAAACCCCAACCCTGTGTGCGTCACCGGCCTCATTCCACTTGCTCCCTGCTGTGGCTCGTGCAGCCAGTCCCTTGCACTGGCCCTTTGCAGCTGGAGGGAGCTGCCACAGAACCCGGCTTCCCACTGGCAGCTGCTCATGGGGTTGCTGCTTTGCAGAGCTGCCCACGGGCTGAGCGCAAACGCACGGCCCACGGGAGCGCTCAAGGCTACACTCTGCAACCTTGACATGTGCTGGAAGTTAGTTACACCCTTTCATACCTACTCGTAAGAATCAATGTGTGCAGGCCTGTCAATATGTATATGCTAGGCTGCTTTTAAAGTTCACAGTTAATAGATCTGCTGGAAAAAAAAAACAATTACATATTGATAGCTTAAAACTGGGTTAACCAAGATTTCAACTGCCACTTAATGGAGTAAAATCAACTATCCTTGACTCACTTGGCTTTTGGGCTAACTCCAGCTCCCTATAAATAGAAACAGTATTCTCAGTGTGGCCACCAAAAATACAGTGCAGAAGTTACTTAGCAAATCTTAGCCATTTCCACTTCACTCAACCCCCTCTGGAAAACCTTTGAAAATGCTCTCCAAAACATTTTTTCACCTCCAGCCTTCAAAGAATCCAAACTCCACATAATATTTTTGAGCAGTAGCTATACAGCAAACATTCTTCCTCTTAAAGAAAGAGTCAGCTATAGGAACAAGAAGACTTCTTTCACATAGAAGTCATCATGTC